ACTTCAGTTAACTTGAGGAAATCACAAAACTCACAAAAATCGATAGTTGACACCATAACACAATTAAGCTACATGAATTAGATAGATAGATGAATTTAACAGCAAAGTAAAATTACCAAGGCAGGGGTGCCCTGGTACCTCAACTGGCTGAGTGGGTGACCCATGTACACGGACTGAAATCCCTGACGCCCTGCTTTCTGTCTCTCTAAACAATAAAGGCTTTAAAGCCAAAAAAAAATTCCAAAAATGAAATCACCCAGGCAGAGGCAGACAACACAGACTAAATGAAACAATATAAACTCCACAGCAGCTTCAGTCAGAAACACAGACATGCACACACACACACACACACACAGTCTCTTTCTCTTTCTTTCTTTCTGTCATTGGAGATGGACACGACAATTCACACTTAACAAATTCCAAGGTTCTTGTGATCACTTGTGGGGCTGTGTGTTATAGACATACTACAATCCCGTATTACCAGTAGTTTCTGAGGTCCCCCGACCAGTCTGATCAGGTTTCTTGGGTGATGCTTATTCAAAACAAAAGAAAACTGCTTTTTAAGCTGGATTGTTGATCTGTATATACAATTACAACAGTGTATGACCCTCTTGTTTGGTCTCCAATTTTTCTTCTTATGCATCTGTTGCCTTCTTTTTGTGAAGCACTGTGTGACAATCTGTAGTCACGCATCTAGAAATTAAGAAATCAACCGCTTGCTCAGAGGGAGTCCAAAGGCTACTTTGGACTGTTGGGTTCTCTGTTTAAATTTCTAAGGTCAATACCTTACTATGTTAAGCACTATGTGATGGCATACGCTGTAAACTGCGCTATACAAATAAAATTTGAATTGAGTTGAATCGATGATTTGTATCTCCTAAAATATCCAAACAATGGATATTTTGCTTGTTTTTGAGCTTCAATTGTATAATAATAACAACAATAGCAATAATAATAATAATAGTAATAATAATAATAATTATAATAATAGTAATAATAATCTGTTTATTTAAAAAGGGACCATGTACAATGTTAAACATAAATGTTGCCATTTGATTTATTGCACCAGAGTTAGCTTTAAGCTAATTTCCATCTGCAGTCCCTTGGCAGGTCACAATATTCCAACTCTCAAATTTATTTATAAACACACACACAAAAATCTGTCATTATATTATATACACACCTACTTGTGTTCTTTGTTGGAATTTAGTTGAATCTTGAAAATGTACTAAATTTAATTCATCCCCCCCCCCTTGGCTACAGGTAATGTCAAAGCTATTTCATATTTTACATTACATTAATAGTGAATTATGTTTTTATGTTTGTTCTTCATATGTTCTCACGTCCTTTTTACACTTTTTACACACGCCAGGATTGCAGCTGAAAGTAAAAAAAAAAAAAGTCAGATATGCCACAAATATATACATTAGGCAACAAATTAATTAAAGGAATCCTCAGATGTGCTTAATGTCTGATATGTGCCTTCATGATGGAACAATGATCGTATTTTATTTCATCATAAACTAAAGAACTTATGCATTCACACATTCAACCAGTTTTCTGCCAGCATTCCTTCCTGGCTTTGGTTGCTGCAACGGTGCTGCGTTTTGCTCCTATGGTGTTTTTATATTCTTCATATTTTGTAAAGATTATATTCTGCTCCTCGGCAGTAAAGTGAGCCGCTCTGCAGCCAGACTTGTCCATAGTCGTGATTGGTCAGATGCCGATAACACCATCCATTTTATGTGCACGCGTTCATACTCAGATCAGACAACCCTGGGTTGACTTACCGAGTTGATAACCACCGTCGTAGGACCAGATAGCGGTTGTTATTGTTAGTCAAGCTGGATCTCCGAAAGATATCCTGGGTATGTTGATCTCACTTCATAATACAGGCCTCTGTCCAGGGTGTCCCCTGCCTTCACCCTGAGTCAACTGGGATAGGCTCCAGCCCCCCGTGATCCTAGTGAGGATTAAGCAGTGTATAGATGATAGATGGATGTAAAACAACAGCTTTTTGAACTGTTAAACCTACTCTGCAATATTTGTGAATATTTATAATAATAATAGAATTTTCAAAACACTATTTTTAGAATATGCATTCTTGAATAAAAAATACAGTTCTACATTTTAACAAATAGAATAAAATACAATTTTGAATAAGATAAAATATCCTTTGAAAACCACGAAAACAATACTAACAATTGTAGAACAGTGCTTAACTTTAAATTTATAGCCCTAAAAGTTAATCTCAGGCCCATTAACATGCTCAGGTGTCCTTGGGACATATTTGATAAATATGGGTTATCCGTTTCCGGTTTTGCACATTCGCGGGAAATATCAGATTAGGTGTGACACATATTTTCATCTGGAGGGGTGGCTGTGCTGTTAAACAGTTTTCTTGGGGCGGGGCGTGAAATAGTATGTAGTCTGTAAATAATTTTCCGCCTAACTACTTTATAATTTACACGTGTCTTGTTTTTCCCACAGGGTTATTGACGTCCAAAATAATGCAAAATGCACCGTCGTCAATCATGCATCACCCTATTTTGCAAGCAGTGGGCTCGTTCTAACTGGCGCGAAATGAAGTGGCCCCGCCCATAAAGTGCATCAAGTCACCGAGTGTGTGCACAAAATAGCGACAGCGACGTTATTCTTAACCTTCAGAATAAAAGATTATAGCGATCTGTCCAGACACTTGTAAACGTAATGTTCGCAGACGTGCTTTTATTTGGAAAGTTGTTGACCGGACGTACTCGTGTCGATTGCAGCTTGAACACAGACTGGTGGAGACACGCTGTGTTCTCTGCAGGGCACTAACGTGTAGTTGAGATTAGTATTATTCTACATTTTTGTGCAGTTTTAGACAGGATTTTGCACTTTCGTGCTAAATCTGCGCTCCTGCATATTGAGGAAGTTTCTTAATAGACGGTTAGTTGTTCCTGAACAAAGTTAGCTTGAGGAACCTGCTTGTGTAACCTCTGTTGGAGCAAAACATACCTTTTCTAGAAGTTCTTCAGAAACCTTGAAGTCACCTTGTTAACCTGCTTCGCTGTTTTCAACAATGAGTTGGTAAGCTAAATGGTTTTGCTTCATATTTTCAGTTTCATATAACGACGTACTTGTCAGCTTCATGTTTTATTGTATAACGTTCGATAATTATGTTTTCTCTATTTGTTAGAGATTAGAAGGTGAACTGTTAAGTCCCCAAATCCGAACATGAAGGTGTAAATCTTGAAAACCTTCGCATTTGATATAAATGAAAAGTGAGGTAGGGAAACTGTGAACAGTAGTTTACCTTATGAAGACCATGGATGGCAGTCTGGAGTCTAAAAGGCTCCTATAATTTATCATTTTCTGTGATGGAATCATTGAAAGCCAGGCGTCTTTGTCACAAAAAACAATCATTTTGATTCTTTAATAGATGCATTGTAGGTCTTCTGGTAAAATGACTGCTGGGTCAAAAATATACTGTCAGCAACTTTAGTTGTCACTTTTGTTAAAAGTTGGGTTCATCCATTTCTTCAGTGGCGTGGCCTACTGTCTTAATGTGAGTGAATATGATTGGCTGCAGCTGCCAGGTGTGTTGTACATGGCCTCTGGCTAAGAGGATGCCATGCAGGAAGAAAGCCCTACGTCTAGAAGCAGCACAAAGATCTTGAATATTTTTTCCCTGACAACAAGCTTAGTTATCTAGTTACAATTCTAATGTTATGCATAACTCTGAGTTTATAGATCCAGGTGGGCTAAAAAGATTATATTGCTATAAATTGCTAATATGTAGATGTGGTTGTAAAATTCTGTGTGTTTAATAATCGGATTGCAATTGTTTTGACAGATACTGTGATATGATTCATTATTTAAATGCCAATAGTAACTTTGGCATTTCTTTTCCACTAAGATATAAAAATTATGATGCAATTTTTTTTTCTCTAGCACCACAATGCTTCATTTATAACAGTATGTTGTCACATATATTACATTTATCAAGAAATTGCAGCTTCTGCAATTTGAATAATGCGCTAGGCCATACTGTGATTTCTACCTTGCTGTGAAGTACTAACATATGACATAGATGTCAACAAATACATGTACCTGATCAATGATTGTTGGCCAATACATCCATCCATCCATCCATTATCTATACACCGCTTAATCCTCACTAGGGTCGCGGGGGGGCTGGAGCCTATCTCAGCCGACTTAGGGCAAAGGCTGGCCAATACCCGTTTTCTGTAATTCTCTTGCCAGTGTGACCATAGAAAAAATGACTATATAACATTCTGTGTTGTACTATAAAGGTCTGAAAAAGTCTTGGCTTCAACTTGGAGAACCCTACAGAAACTGATTGGAGTTCGTTCTGTTGCCCTGTAGAAACCGGCAGGAAAAAAATCACACCATTGATTTATTTATTTATTTTTTTTAAAGTATTCTTTCTGTTACTAACAGCATGAAGGAAGAAACTCGAAGTGCCTCCCCTCACTGCCCCAAACCTGATGAATCTGAGGAGCCACGGGGCACAGCCATGGAGACTGGGGCTGCCAATGGTCAGTTATAAGGTCTAATATTATGTCCCTGTTTAACAAGTTAGTCTAAGTCTCAAATGTTTGTCCAGAATCTGTATTTCAAATTTCTTTTCAAATATAGCACAGATTGTCATTCTACTATGCCTGTAATACCTCTGGTTTCAGCATCTGTAGCTTTAAATGCAGTCAAACTGCTGCTGCCCATGCCCTTTCCTGGATAAGGGCGGTGCCATTGCTTCTGGTGCAGTGGATTCACAAATAAATTAGGCTGTTAGTTGTATGAGCAGTTTGATAAACTGTTAGTTTTGATTTTGTCTGTCACTTGGTTTGTTGTCTAATCTTGCATAAATGATAATGATCACATGCATGCTGCCTCATTTTCTGTCACTGTTGGTGGTATGTCTGAATAAAGCTTTGAGTAACATTAACATAAAAGTGACCCATATATGAGTGACAGAATGCCGTCACTTTAATGGACTGATGAAGCAGCAATGTTACGGATCCCATGTCTGAAAAGAGCTTGCATGAAAAGATGCTGATGATATGTGGAAACTTGTTCTGACTGTAACCCAGCCATCAGCTCGACTGTCGTTGTTGCTTCTTTGCAGATGTGAGTGCAAAATCTGAGAATATGGCGTCTGAAGTGGTCATCACTAAGGAAATGGAGGAAGAAGAGAAGCAGCTAATGGAGGAAGGGGAGAGGAAAGAGAAGGAAATGATGGAAAAGGTATGTTGCTTATTAGTTCCTCAGGATGTTTGTCATGTCTCTGTTGCCCACACCGTATTTAGGAACCTGCATTAAGCCTGGATATTGAATAGTTGTATTACCAAGTATTAAAAACTGTTTAGAATCCAAAGCAGTCATTTAAGGCCTGATTACATTAATGTACTTTTTAACTTAATGTTTGATTAAGTGAAAATATCTGACTGTATAAGTTAGTAGTTAATTACATTCTTGTACGGTTGCTTCTGTTTAGACATTTAACACTTGACCATCATTTGTACTTTTGCTAAATATGGAAAGCATCCTAATTTAAGAAAAACATTTTACTTATTGTTGGTATCGATGTAAAAGTCATGAGAGTGGCACTAGTAATACATTTTTAGATGACATCCAACCGTTTTGTCTGTCACTGATTATTTTTAACGCTTACCCCAAGGCCCGGGAGTCGTGGGAGAGGGACTCCCATGACATGCGCTTCAAGAGACTGCAGCATTTGCTTCAGAAGAGCAACATCTACTCTAAATTCCTGCTGACGAAAATGGAGCAGCAACAGAATGAGGTCTGTCTGTCTGTCTGTCTGTCTGTCTGTCTGTCTGTCTGTCTGTCTGTCTGTCTGTCTGTCTGTCACAGGCTCTTATTGTGCCTGCTGCTACAAGCTGAGTTACTTCTAACAACTGACACTTTGCTATTTTGTCAATGATTTCAGGAAAAGCTAAGGAAGGAGAAACTGGAAAAGAAGAAGAAGGTGATGGATGTTTAAAAAAAGAAAAAATTGCTTAGTATGAAAGTAATTTATTTAATTATGTTCACAAAGTATATTTGTGTTTTTAGATCCAAACCACCACCAGTGCAGAGCCTGAGAAAGGTGAGCAGATATTTGATCTTTTACTACATATAGCAAAAGCTGTTTGTAAATATCAGTATTTATTGTTTAATTTACATTCATTAACTCGTAGATGATGTGATCATGCTAAACTTCTAAAATCCAGCTTGGACAAATTTGTGTTGTTTGTGACTATTTCCTGTTGATGCAGACAAAAAGAAGAGGAAGAGGGATGAAGACTACAAAATAGCAGATGTAATGTCAAAAGAGGTAAGTGTCATTTCGCTTTATGTCTGTTTTGTGGAAATTGTAATTCACTCAATTATTCACTTTGATCCGGCTTGATTTTGTCTTCTAGGAAATCATGTCACAAGCTAAGAAGACTAAAGTGGAGGAAGTGGTAATAGTTCTTTTCTTTTTTGACTGTGTAGTATTATAGTATTGTATGTATACTTTCTGGGTAGTAGGTTTGAGAAGTTAACACACACACACACACACACGCACACACTTAATGTTACTGTTTTGAAAAAAAAAAGGAGGGCCACACCGGTACACTCACTGAATGGAGTGCACACACAATGCACACCTGAAGTGAGTCTGAGCAGCAGAGCGAATGGTAACTGAGTCAGCAGTTGGTCAACTGTCCAATGAAAACTTTGTTGATTGCTTTGACATATCCACCATGGTGATGAACTGGATTGTGTGACAGTGGATAGTTACTCAAAGTAGTGTCCAACACAACATCACACTGGGTGGGAATATGTTTGCATACAGTTTGAGTTTAGAATAAGCTGCAGTCAGTGAGTTGTTGTGAATGCCCCCATTAACAAAGCTGACATCACTGAAAACATACTGCTGGGAAAGTTTGACAGTGTTACAGAACACAAACAGCAAGCAAAAATATGAGGACCACTCATCCGAACGACTTCACACTCCACACTGCACCTCTTGGGTTTTCCAGCAGTGCACCCACCAAGTGTGAAGTAGGTTATAGTTACTTTGACATTATTGTTAAAATGTGCATATTTTGTAACAGCATTGAATGTCATACCTTGAGGATTTCTAAATACTCTGCTATATTGTAATGCTTTTATACTGCCCAAGCCTACTGGATAGATGAAAAGGCATACGTTGCAATAATCCAGAAGTGGAAAATGTTGGCGTTTGTATACTATATAGCCTCATTCAGTCAGAACTGTTTTAAGTGGAGGTGGTAGAGTAAACATTTGCTTTGGTTCGTTCCAGACCAGATTTTAATCTTCACAAATGGCAGGATCTGCTTTGTAACGGGCATGAACATTCACCTGGACAAAGCAGGATGAAGAGCTGCCTCGTGTCCATTCATGTATAGAAACCACAGAAAAGAAGAGACTGCACAACTCAGTTTCCTGAGAAATAATCATTTCTTTTAGTTTTCTTCAGTATTATAGTAGTCTAGTGACAGTTGTCTGCATTTCATCAGGCACATTACAAACAACAGCTGCTGGTTGGCTACTTTTGTGATACTTTTTATGAGTTTGAGAAATGTTCTTTCTGTCATCTGATTGTTTCCCAAACATGCCTTGTATGCTAGCATGTTTCTGTGAGACTGGAAAAACCTCTATGTTCACACAAAATCAGAATTTTACACTGGGTTGATTAAAAAAAACAAAAAACAAAACAAAACAAAAGAAGGACAGAAGGTAGTTCTGCAGAAAAAGGGGGGGGCTGCTTTAAAATGCAAAGACATGGCTCCAAATTAGATTTAAATTACAGAAGGAGCAGCGAATTTGCTACAAAACCTGTTGTTGCACTGTAACTACTGCTGGAGGCAGCATGACAGGGTACTCCCATACACTCTGGACTGAATTAAAATCACTGAAATGGTAAAATCAGGTCCTCTAGAGGAGAGAGTTCTGTCTGAATAGGACGTAAAATGGATTATGAGGCTCATGTCCAGCCATATATGGGTGTAAATATATATCCGTCGTCTCATGTTAGGATGCGGGATCGGCCCAGAAGAAACTGGAGGCTGAAGATATTGAAAAGATGAGTGATTCCAACCAAGACATCAAGAACCGATTGTCGGAGACGGTGCGAGACAATGCCAAGCATCTCCTGCACCCTCACAGGAAGGTGAACGGACTGCCAGTCCCAGTCCAACAGCCACAGCTCTTCACCGGAGGAGTTATGAGGTGGTACCAGATTGAAGGCATCGAGTGGCTGAGGGTGAGTGAGTGAATGAGGTGGGGGATGATCAACATGGGATTGTGGAAACAGATTATTTTTTCTTTTTACCTGTTAACAAGACGTGTCAGGACTTGAACACAATAATGAAGTCAAGCTTTAAAGCCCATGCTTGACCTTGGAAAGTTTTATTTGTAGACCTTGTTGTTGACAGCAGCAGTCTGACCTTAAGGTCTATTAAGTAGCTTGCTAGCTTTCTTCTGTAAAACACAATCTTCCTTTGCCTGGAGTTTTGTTCGTTGCCAATTTAAGGGCCTTTCGCTGTGCCGAGCAAAGTGCAAGCGCAGCGTGCAGGTCAGCTGGTCATATGCCTTATGGTTTGTCAGTGTTTATTGTGCTGTTGAATGTCAACAAGCAGCCTGTATTGTCCCCTCTCTGCTGCCAGATGCTGTGGGAGAATGGCATCAATGGGATCCTGGCTGATGAGATGGGACTGGGAAAGACCATCCAGTGCATTGCTCACATTGCCATGATGATAGAAAAAAAAGTGATGGGCCCCTTCCTGGTGGTGGCCCCACTCTCCACTCTGCCCAACTGGGTCAACGAATTCAAGCGCTTTGCCCCTGAGGTAAGAGGAAGTCGTACTGAGATGGAGTTTTAAATGACTTTCTTGTCTTACTGGTCCCTGAAACCCTTAAAAGTCACTCAGAAAGACAACTGCAATGAAACTGTTTCAGGCAAGTTTGTAGCTGAGCTTCGCTGCAGATTGTGTGAAGTGAAATAGTCTCAAACCACTTAAGAATAGTATTTCTCATCCAGAAGTAGAAATGAAGACTATACTATAATCAGCTAGCAGAGTTCTGTTAAGTCAGTGGTGGATGGCGCTGGCTCACTAACGTTCCATTTGTCCCAGGTGTCTGTGCTGCTTTACCATGGCCCTAAGCCAGAGAGGGCGAAGCTGCTTAAGCAGATCCGCAGGCCTTTGGGGCCCCTCAGCATGTGTCCTGTGGTCATCACCTCCTTTGAGATCTCCATGATTGACAGAAAATTGCTCCAGGTGAGATCCTATTTCATGCTTTATTATACAACAAAATTGTTATTATAAAAGCTTACTAATGCCAAAAGGCAACAAGACCAAGTGTAAATTTCAGTTCAAACATAAGCTGCAAAGAGAATCACATGAGTTACAGACACAAATGTACAAAGTATTATTCTTGTGAAATACCACTAAGCAAAAATTATCTTCACATGCAAAGGAAACTCAAATTTAATAAACCCCAATGAATTCTGTGTAATTTATCACAAGCAACAAAGTGATTTAGAAAAGGCAGCAGATCAATGAGAAAATCTTGGAGCTGTAGCCACATTCAAACACATTTAGTAACTTGATGAACAGATTCACATTTGACACGAGAGCTGCAATGATCAGTTGATCGACATAATATCATTTTAATGGATGGTGAACCCTTGGTCATATTATATTATTATAAATATTGAAAATATTTGCTGATTAAAGTTCTAGTGTAACTCACCTAATGTGGACTGCATGTGTATGCCTGCCATTGGCCATTTTTTCAGGCACTTTGTCCTCCTTTTGCATGATCTGCATGTTATGGGAAACAAGCATGCAAGTGCTTCCCCAAAACCGTTCTACTTGTCACTTTCTTGAGGGAACATGAAGGCCGCTTCTGTCACATAGTTTCGCCCAAGACAACTGTGATCAGTAATAATAAATTGCAGCCAGACCATTATGTACTACAGAATGGGCCGGCAAAGCGAGACTCAAGCTTGTCACAATTAACATTAGCAGGTCTGTTTATGAACTGAGTAGTTTTTGGTTTTGGAGTGTGGGTCAAATAAAACAAGCATTTTAAAACATCTTGAGCTTTGGGAAATTTAACAGATACCTTTCATTATTTTTCTACATTCCATAGACATGAATGTATTTATCAAGGTAATAGATTAATTGAAATTTAAATTGATTAGTAGTTGTTTTCTTTCTTTTTGGCTCTTCTTAAGAGTATTTTATAAGAAGCCAGGCCATATTTGTTTTCTGCCCCAGCACTTCCAGTGGAAGTACCTAATAGTGGATGAAGGCCACAGGATCAAAAACCTCAACTGTCGGCTGGTACGGGAGCTGAAGATGCTGCCCACTGACAACAAGTTGCTGCTGACGGGCACACCACTGCAAAACAACCTGGCTGAGCTCTGGTCCCTCCTCAACTTTCTTCTGCCAGAGGTCTTTGATGACCTCAAGAGGTAATTTCAAGAATTATTGATTAGTGGGTGCTGCTCAGCTGTTTAGTTTAACCTTTAAAACCTGACCAACAAACTTATGCACCCAAATTCACATCCCTTCCTCTCGGTTGAGTAGCTCATGAAGTATTCATATGAAACTGCACAACTTGACCATTCCAATGATGCCAGTTTCTCGTCTTTGCAAAGTTGGAATGTTGCTGTAAAAAACAATTCAGAATTTATATCAAATGTTATCATAGTTACAACATGCATACAGCTCTGCTTTCATCTCCACAGTCAATACTTCTGTTTTAATTACCCATTAACTTCTTATTGCATAGACATGAAACACATCACAAGAAAGAGTGCAACAGCACCTCTGTAACAGTGCTTGTCACATACTTGAAATTGTGTAATGAAGGCAGATTAGAATTATGTAAATATCTTTACGAATGCCTTAATCCACTTTCCCACTTACATAGCGCCATTCTACCTTAGTGATACTCAAAGCACTTTCCAATTTTCCCATTCACACACCAATGGCAACAGAGCTGCCATGCAAGGTGTTTGCCTGCCATCGGGAGCAACTTCGGGTTCAGTGCCTTGCCCATAGACATACCGACATGTGCGGGGAATTGAACTGAACTGGATTAAACCTTACAATTGGTGGACAACCCACTCTACCCCCAGAGCCAGATTTGGCAAACTGCATCCGTTGCTGTATTTTCTATGGTATTAATTCAGTACTGGATTAAATCTGCCAACGTTACACATAACACTTGATGTGAGTACTGTTTGAAGTAGACTCCATGATGTTGAGATCAGGGCTCTGGGGGCTCAGACCATCTGCTGCAGGACTCCATATTGTTCCTGTGGCTGAAGATAATTTTTTATGACTCTGGGAGGATGTTTGAGCTTGTTGTCCTGCTGCACAATACATTTGGCATGATCAGATGTCTCCCTGATGGTGTGATGATAATGACAAATACGAAATTGAACATCCAAAGTGCCTGAAACCTCTGTCCTGTACTTTATATGCAGTCAGATGTGCCATTTTGGCTTTCTTTACCCTCTTCTTGTTATGTTTGCTGCACAGCTTTGAATCATGGTTTGATATCAACTCCCTTGGCGAGGCTGAGAGTGTGGTGGTTGCTGAACGTGAGCAGAACATCCTGAGCATGTTGCACCAGGTCAGTCCTTGAAACCATTGCAGCACAGTGCAAACATGATACACTATTACATACCTAATTATTCTTACAGTAGCCGTGATAATCTGAATGAATTCAAAAGAAGTTAAAAGTTTAAAATTGGCCAGTTAGTGGCATTTGTGACTTAAAACCAATTGTGATTCACTGCTTTTTAAAAGGACCAAGGTTTCCTAAGTTCAGTGTTAATTCAATTCAATTCAATTTTATTTGTATAGCGCATATTTACAACAACA